CAGAGTATTGCCTCTGTTAACGTCCCCCCCCTTCGTGCTGGTGTTTCAGACCAATGGGAGCCCACAAGAAGTGCCTCCTGACATCACATAAAAGTGACAATCGCCGCCTCTCCCATTAACACATGCACGCTCCCCAAGATTGGTTTTGCCCTGAGTGGCATTATTTTCGAACATGTGTTGTTCCTTTGTGTAGAATCAAGCAATTTGGCCATCTCTCTTCCTTACTGACTACGTGTATCCCTTGTTGAGGTTTGTACCTTGTTTATACTTTACAATTTGGCTTAATAGTACCGTACTGTCTTGATAGTTGTTATCATTGGGTGTGAAGCACGCGTGACTGCTGGATACATACTTAGAGGAGTCAAGAAGACGAAACATCCAATCTCAACCGACAAAGCAACGAGTTCGTGTTGTGCTCCCTGACCAAAGTTCCGGGTGATCTACACTTGGGATTGGGTATGGCTGACTGGTGACCTACAACAAGTCAGAAATGGCCATTCCGGTCTGCTCGGTCTTTGTCGGGCTCTATACGTTCCTATACGACTGCCTGCGAGGGCTCTAAAGTGAGTGTCAGGGCAGAAACCGAACGAACATTTTTCCATTATCAGATACATTAATGTTGATGAAAATAGTCTCCCCCAGGTCATCAATGAACCAGTCAAACGAATCTTGAACGCCAGCTCTCACTACCATTGACATCGAGTGCAAAGAAAACAATTAGGGAGGTCGACCAAGTGCCCTGCCCAATAAGTGTTGTGTTTGAGATGGCAGAAAGCATGGTGAAACCCAGGCAATGCGCTCTTGCATACCTGCCTCCTCCACTTCGTCAATCTCAGTACCGTGGGTTTCAACCTCGGTCACGGCTCCTACAAAGCATTCAGGGAGAAAACGTCAGATTTTATTCTGTGAAACATTATTCTGCCAAAAGTCCAATTTCAAATGTAACCCCCCCGCCCTCTAACCGGTTACTATGCATATTACTTCGATAAAAGTAAAGTATTTTGAAATCAAAGTCGTTCTTCGGGAAGCGAAGTTTAGTGCGTAAATTTTCAAGACTGGAGCCCCAGCTCTTCTTCGGACGAGGAGTAAAGTGAGAGTGCCGAAGAAGCAGCGTGTGGAAAAATCGATAATGGTTCTAGCTATTACCTGCTATCAGAGACACAGGTGTGCCGATATTAAATGCTAATTGACCCATATGATGCTTGGACAGTATGATGGATTTACGCTGTGTATTGTCCGCTACGCCATCCTTTTAGGGCAACACTTATGGGAAGCGCTGTCCCTTAACTAGCCTCTGCTTATCGCCACCGACAGGATCCTGGGTGACGAAGGCGGTTACAGCTCTTGAATAGAACATCAACGGCAAAAATCGTGGATATGATCTTTTTTTTTCAAAAAACCACTAGAGAGTAACTACAATGAATCACACGTGCGGATATCAAGTATGTATTGTAAGCTCAGACAGCTAGATTACGCTATTTGGGCAAATCGAAAGAGAAGCGCTGTTGCTTACCAGAACCCTCTGTTTCACCCTGATGAGGAACCTCGGTTTCAGCATCGGTAACGGATTCTAGAAAAAGAGGCAGGGAAACTAGTAGGAACTTGTTATACGTCCAGCGAATTATATGACAAGGCCTTCATTTTCCCAGTTAGGATTGCATTGTCATATCAAGCATGCGAAAGTTATTGATATCAATAATATACATATGGACATCAAGAAGGAATTCAATTATCAGAGACCTAAATTAAGCGATTCTGACTTCTTAAACGAGGCGCTGTCGCTTACCAGGTCCTTCTGTTTCGCCATGGTGTGGACCCTCGGTTTCTTCTACAAAGTATGAGCGGAAAGTATTCAGTATTTTGGGCACCTAACCAGTCAACATTCATCTAATTTAAAGTATTCATTCAATTTAAGTAGAAAAGATGCGATGAATCACGCCTGCGGATATAAAGTACGCATTCCAAGCGCAGAAACTTAGGTTATGTTGTTCCATTACGCTGTAACTTATACGTGAAAGTCGTAAGGGACGTGATATGACTTACCAGGACCCTCTGTTTCACCAGGGTGATGACCCTCCGTTTCAGCATCGGTTACTTCTTCTACAAAATATGCAGGGTGAATATCAGAAACTTTTTCTATTTTCTGCGAATTATGCTGAGTGAAATATGCGCCTGTGATTTCTGCATTTATCGAAGCTGTTGGCAAATTCTAAGCAAAGCACTGTGGCCTACCGGGACCCTCTGTTTCGCCATGGTGGGGACCCTCAGTTTCAGCATCGGTCACGAATTCTACAAAAAAGGCGGAGAAGATATCAGGAACCTCTAATAGTTCCAGCGAATTATGCTGCGAGAAATTAATTATCCTAGTTGGAATTTTGGACATCCAAACTTCCTAGTTCATTTAACTTCGCACATGAAACTGAAAGTTATCGCTATATTATCCTAAACTGTATGCAGAAACAAACACACACATATAAGAATTTATGTTTCGCCGATCTAGTAGAGGAACAATTAAGTTCGCTTTGCCCGGGAGCTCACAACGTGAGCCCGCCAGACCGTCACACAGTGACTAGAATGATATGATGAAAAGGGCCCGACAAAGCAAATGGAGACCGGAATGGCCATTTCTGGCTAATTAGCCGTCATCAGCCAGTCATACCCAATCTCAAGGGTTGGAACCCCCGAGGTTTGAACCCGGGACTTTTGGTCATTGAGTTCAGTACTCTACCTCTAGTCCACGAGCTGCTTGCTTTGTCGGTTGAGATCGAGAATATGATGAATGTATGTGTTTCGCCGATCTAGTAGAGGAACACACACATATATGTGAGAAGATAAGGCGAGATCGCTTTATCGTCTCATTTATGTTCGGGGACGCGCATCTTCGCTTCTATTAGCAATATATATATATATGTATTGGTGAAAGGAATGACCCGAATCATCCGACACCGGAACTACACGAGTGTGATTTCATTATATGTGGAAAATTTGGGGCAAATGCTAAGAGAAGCGCTGTTGCTTACCAGATCCCTCGGTTTGGCCGGGGTGATGATCCTCGGTTTCAGCATCGGTTACCTCTTCTACAAAAGATACAGGGAAAGTACGAGGAACTGTAATACCTTCTGCGAATTAGATTGCAATGCCTGAATTTTCCCAGTTAGCAGTTTGGCTATCAAACCGTCCTAGTTAATCTAATTTCGCACATGCAAGTGCATGATATTACTTTATATTCCTCGACAGTTTACGATAGCAATACTATCTACCGACATCAAGAACGATTGCAGGCATCAGATATCGATATTATGCGAGTGTGACCTTGCATTTATCGAAGATTTTAGGAAAATTTTAAGGGAAGCGCTGTTGCTTACCAGGTCCTTCTGTTTGGCCAGAGTGCTGACCCTGGGTTTCAGCATCAGTCACTTCTTCTACAAAAAGTGCAACGAAAATATCAGGAACTCTTTCTATTTCCAGCGACTTATATTTCTTGTTTAGAATATTGGACATTAAAAAGATCTTAGGGCCACAACAGCCTATGTAGTCCCTAATTCCAACAAGTTGTCCAACAAAAACGGTGCTTATAGGGTTTTATGGGTGGGGAATTAGGACACGCAATGGAATATATTTTATTAACTGCTATATGCATTTCAATTTTACTGTAGTTAGAAGTGTTGGTTGATTTATATCTGTAAATTTTCCTAATCTCTATTATCGTTTTACGTATTGCGAAACAACCCGATTATCGAATTGCAGGGTTCTTGACATTCCCGAAGAATAGAAATGGTGGTTATGAGGTCATCTACTTCCACTTACCTGAAATCCAACTTAACCTTCTGGAGTCAAATTAGCTAATCCGCAGCGCAAAGCGCCGCGCACACCTTCAATTTACATGCGGAACAACTTACTCCTCGGCCGTGGGAAGCAACTTCGACTACATTTTTTCACTTTACACTTACTTCTATTTTCCCAAACCCCAAAACTCTATAACCAACGTTTTCGTAGGACAAAATGCTGGGACTATAGTATATGAGGAAGGGGGACTACATAAGCTACATTTTCCCTTCTTAGTTTATCTCATTTCGCACATGCAATTGTATCATGTCACTAAGAGCCCCTAGACAGC